TCTTGCAACTGATCGAAGAGAAAAGTCCTCCGCAGAGAGTAAGCCGAGATGGCGGTCTTTATGTAGGAGCTGGTGGTATAGGATACGCTTTCTTCTTTGTAGCGGAGTGCACAGAGTTTTTGAACATTCGAGAACAATGCCTTGGAAAAGCCTTGGAGTACATGAAGGTCCGTTTGCAAACTCTCAGAACAATCAACTTGAGTTGTGCTCGAAAAGTTGTCGCAGGACGGTTTTAAATTTATATGCGCGCTAGATATTTTATACTGAGGTTCCGTTTGACAGGGTGCTAAACTGATAACTGAAGCGAGGATAATGCAAAAGCAACGAGACCGTTGAAATAATTATCTCTGAAAAAAGAAAAAAGCAAACTAAAAAACAGATAATCCTTTACACAGCTTAAGATAACGCACTTTAAAATTTGGATACTATAATCATCAATTTAACAAACCGTATAAATATCGAACGTTAAAACCAATCTTTCTTTTCCTTTCTTTTCTTTTAAGGTTAGTCTAGAAGAGGCATCAACAACGTCTCCCTCTGATGATGGTATTGGGGCATCATTTCTCCTAGGACATGCAGGGATTTATGCAGCATCAGCACTAGTTTTCAATGCTTTGGGTTTGTATTAGCTCTATGAAAATGAAATATTTACTACATTCATGATCATGTTAATTAATACACAATTTATAAAACGCAAGTAAGTGTTATGTGGAAGAGGTATGCATGTGGCCTTGATTAAAAGAGGTTGCTAACAGTGTGCATTTTCACAATTATATTTTTGTATTCTTTTGTTATTGTTGTTGTTGTTGTTGTTGTTGCTGTCATTTTGCTTTTTGGTTGTTGTTAGGAATTTATTTCTCCCTCCAAAATTTGGCATAAGTGCCTTAGCACTTGAGTCAAATTTTGGGTAAAAGGAGGGATGATATTTGGACTTGGAGGGTGCTTATACGGTAACATGTTGTTGCAGGGTATCAGCAAGAAACAGAACAGTGTATCCAGAATTATCTGGAGATGGCTAAAATCTGCCAGCCACTGAATTTCTTTAGTCATGGTTCTGATGAACTGTTTGTTGGTAGAGCTGGTTACTTATGTGGGTCACTTCTCTTGAACAAAAAGCTTGGCAGGACTGTGGTACCTCCAGAAGTCACCAGACCCTTGTTTGATGCCATCATAGAGTCTGGGCGACAGTATTCACAGAGTCACCAGTCAAAAAGCCCACTCATGTACTCATACTACGGGAATGAGTACTTAGGTATTATGCTGAGGGTTTCAGTCTTTTGGAAAATTTAATAAAATTAAGCCTGGCATCATGCCTGTTACATTTTGGCAATAATTAATGTCCCAACAATGTAAGAGAGGGTAGGCTAGACATTGTAACAGGTATCAAACACAATAGATAAGTACCACAAAGTTGCTGACCCCTCTTTCTCTAGGACAGTTTATTATGATGTTATCAAGAACAAAAAATGTGGAAAATCCTCTATTTACTACTGTTTGATCAAATTGATTAATTTTTTATCTGCTAATTTTTAATCTAACTTATTGTTTATTATTTTGTACATGATGGAAGACCTTTGTATGACTTCAAAGAGTTTAAATATTGTTTCATGACCTGTTGAGAGTTGTCAGAGGAATTATCCAAAGGTAATTTTTTTTTTTTCAAATTTCTATTCAGGGGTAGGTCATGGACTTTCATCCATTTTACAAATGCTGCTTAGTTTCCCAGAACATTTTAGCGAAAGAGAAGATGTTGAATCTCTCATTCATAAAGCTGTTGACTACGTGCTTGCATGTGAATTTTTTAATGGAAACTACCCAACTGTTCCTGGAGAGGTCCGTCACCTAGAAGATAGGCTGGTACATTGGTGCCATGGTACTCCAGGGGTTGTTTATCTTTTGGCCAAAGCTTATCTTACCTGGAAAGATGAGAAATACTTGCAGGCCATGAGGAGGAGTGCTAATCTTATCTGGTATTTGGGATTGTTACGCAAAGGGCCAGGCATATGTCATGGTGTGGCAGGTAATGCATCATTGTTAAATATCTATCTTACAGTTCACATCTCTTCCTTTTTTCATTCAGAACAGGAGAACAGTCAATCCTATGTTATTTTCCAAGTGGGGTCTTGGGATCAATATCAGTATCTGGGCAACTGCCCACCTACCCCTCCCCTAACCCAACATTAACCCTAACTTGTCATCAATCACCAATTTTTCTAAGAGGAGAGGAAACGGAAAAAAGTGACGGCCTCAACGAAATTCGAACGCCCCTACCGTACAGAATACAGCCCGCAAGCTCATATATATAACTGCTTTGTAATTGTGTAAGAAACAAGGTGAAATTTATGTCTCTTTCCTTTCTTTTTTAGGGAATGGATACGTCTTCCTATTGCTCTATCGTCTAACCCAAGAAGACGAATACCTGTATTTTGCGCAGAAGTTCTCGGAATTTATGCAGACAGAAGAGTTTCAAAAGGGAGCAAGAACTCCGGACGCACCATTCAGCTTATATGAAGGATTGGCTGGAACTGTGTGCTTTTACGCCAATCTTTTAAATCCTTCCGAGGCGGTTTTTCCATTCTTTGAAGTCTTCTATTGATTGACTATTTGAAATACATTGTCTTATATAAGGATTGAGGGGCCTTAGAGATTTCCAGTTAAATGACAGATGATAATAAGGAAAGAGAGATTTTCCGAGCTGCAGTATAGTTTGAGCACAGAAATTTGCAAATCTGACTCGTTTTTAGAAACCTACTTAAGCAGCAGTTTTACTTTGGTTTTGCTCTTGGATCTAAAGCGGCAAGGAAATGGTTTAAAAATATTGTAAAATTTAAAATTTAGAGAGTTATGATCGGGTTGCTTAAAATAGACCTTATCCATGAATTTCTTCAGAGTCCAAATCATGTGCGCTTGAGATCAGCAAATTAATTTTTCGTGGCTCCCTCTTTCCACTTGCCAGTCATAGCCTGTTTACGTAGAACACAACGAAAACAGTTACACCCACCTCTAGGCAGAGAACCTGTCTCTCCCTCCGCTGTGGATCATCTTAGCTTTGCGCACTCAGAGATATAAAATATCATATAAAGAAATCGAAAAATAAGCAAACAGATATATGTAAAAAGATAAGTAAAAACGCGTGCCACGCTAGGTGGTCTGCCGTTACCGCTTTGCTTCAAAGTGAGATTCGGAAGTCGTGAACACAACAAAGTCCCCGTAAAGATACATCAAAATGAGAGGCGATATTGGCGATGTTGACCTGAACAATTAGCCCGCCCACTTGGCTCAGATGATTTGTGGGAGTTCTTAACTGCAAAGCACGCAAAAATACCATAACTGTGACACGTTTTCGG